GGAGGGGCTGTGCGAGTCCGGCGACGAGAGGGTGGGGGAGGGTCTTTGAAGTTCGGCGATGTCTTTGAAGTTCGGCGACGAGAGTTGGGAGAATTGGGAGAGAGGACAAAATTGGAAAAACCACACTCTGAATGGTTTAGAGACTTCCCATATGCAAAATGGTTAAGAGCCTTTTAGTAACCATTAAGAGGTTTCTTTTTTTTGCCAAACAGTCTAAACCTCTGAACGATTAAGAGGCTCCCTCTTAATGTCACCATTAAGAGGGAAACAAACAGCCCCTAACAGTGTTGATGGTTGTTTCTTGGGAGGGTGTGGGATAGGGGGGTCTAGTGTGTCAATGTATGGAACTATAGGGGGTAAATTTGATATTTTTGGTTTTTTGCATTGCCGCATGCGTGTATGCCCCTCTAATTTGATTAAATGGCAACTTTAACCCGTAAATTTAAATGACTCTCCATTTTCCCCTTTGTATTCACCTGTGATTTCAAAAACCAAAATACTCATGGTCATTAGGGGTTGTTTGGTCCACACACGGAAATGAAAATGAAAGAATGAATTTTCATTTCCTCCTCTTTAATTTATGATGAAAATTTATCTGTATTTAGTTATACAAATTTAAAAATAGAGTTTTAATATGTTGTATTTACGTACAATTTACTTGTAACCTTATATTTTAAGTAATATACATTAATATACAATATTTCATGCATAAAAAATGGTTTTTAAAAGTTTTTGTCAAATGCTTTATAATATTGTATAATAAAACCAAACAATATTTTTATATTTAATATTATTAATAACTGTTTCATGCCTTTAAACAAACATCCCTAATTTTTTATTAAAATATTCTTTTGTAATACTTCCATTTTTATTTCGTGTGTCATCCATTAATATCTTGTATAAATTTTTAATACGTAAATGTGTCATAAAAGTGAAATTTCGGCATAAATGACTTTTTTGCATCGAGAGTAGGGATGTTAACAAGCTCAACCGAGTCGAACATTATAGATTCCAGGTTTGGTTCAAGACGTTACATGATTTGAGTTCGAATAATTTTTCCAGTAATGTGGTTAAACTCGAGTTCGAGATCGAACTTGATGTTCATTTAATAGTTTGAGCATTTTGTTATGACCTGGAATTTATATTCAATTAGCTCGTTTTATGAGCTCGGGCGTGAATAAACTCGTTTTTAACTCATAAACCTAAATTTAGAGTTTGAATTGAAGCTCGTATAATTCATTTCTACACTTGTATACAGTATACCTGCATTTCGGCAAAAACTATCAGACAACATCCACACATGACACATCTACACACATATGTATATAACATCATAAACAATAAAATTTGAATCAACGGTAAAACATTAAAAGGCCGTTAACTAAACGCTTACCTGGTAAGTACTTACCCGGTACTTTTCCTCATCGGATGAACATAGCAAGGGCCAAGAATCTTACCCGGTAAGAGCGACGATAAGGATGGAGAGTCTTACCCGGTAAGCGAGGGTGACGACTCTTACCCGGGTAAGCGCTTACCAGGTAAATTGTTGCATATGATACGTTTTGATGTACTACAATCTTACCCAATAAAATAAATTATAGTATTAACTTATAACATTAAGCACTTACCAAGTAAGCATTTATGTAAATGCCCCCCAAGTGTCTTGCAACTTTAATTAGGTTTAATTTCAAAACTCAACGTAAACTTCCTATGGCATCTCGATTACAGCAACTTGTAAGAACCATCGTTAGTATTTTTTTTGTCAGTTTGTTGTTAACTTATTAAATTAAGAACCTCTATAAGACCATACAGTGGAAGGACTTGTAAGAATCTCCTTTTTTTTTTTTGTCCCGTTAACTTTTTTCACTATTAATGTTTATTATATATTATTTAATATTATACACAAAATACAAGATAAGAACCAAGTATTTTGTACAAAAACTCCAAATATATGAGCGACTGATAAGAACTATCTACAATGATAATGACTTGTAAAAAGTACATTTTCCCTAAATCTTCAAAAATTTCAAAATAGCTGAGCTGTTTGAGATGCTCTAATAAGCTACATGGCTCAAGTTGGTGCTCAATTAAGAAAATATAACATACTTGTTGGAGATACTCTTTGAATTGTCAAGTCCCATTAGGGGTGTGCAAAACTTAAATAGTCTTAAATCCGAGCCCGAATAGAATATAAGGTGTTTGTGCAAAACCCGAAAATCTGAAACCCTACTTTTGGGGAGATATTTGAGTTCGAGTTGGGTTTGATATATGGCCACCTGACCCGCCCGAAAAAATTGATATATATATGTATATGTATATGTATATGTATATGTATATGTATATGTATATGTATATGTATATGTATATGTGTATATGT